AAGACAAATTCATTTGGAAACAAACAACTCAACTTCCATTATAAATTCATCAGATAAACTAACTCAGTGTGATACAAAGTCAACTTAAGATTCACTTCCCCATGCCATGGCTGAAATTGCGCCTAAACATGATAACGTAAAATGTTAGTAACATAAGAAAGAGTATCTCGCATATATACAGTCACAGAATGTACATGAAGAGCATAGTGCATTCTGACCTGAGCACCTTTAAGAATATGAGTAACACCAGCTTTTTTGGCGCAATAAAGAACCTCCTAAAAACCCACGGAGAAACGGGGCGAAATTATCTATCCATCCAACCAACCAAGCACCAAAATATATAAATGATTGAATTCAGAAGTTCGGTGAGAAAATCCGAAGCCACATTGGCATCACATTATGGCCTCAATTACTTGTCTTTCTCTGAGAAGAGCTAAGCCAAAAAAATCAACGTAACATCCTATTTACGCCAACTCACTCAAGAATTAAAACGACACCTTCATGCCCCATATTTACAGTAAATTCAACTATCCAAACGAAATTCACCACATCATTCTAAATGCGCGAGATGTAAGCATAAATAATATTTTTTTTAAAGGTGGTAGTCAATTATTCCTCATTCACACAATACTGGGTGAGCAGCTAGGCGGCCCCTGCTGTGCTGTTGCTCTCTTTATTTTCCTATTTTTTGTTTTTTTTTTTGTTGTCAGCTCACGCGCTGCCCATTGGGCGCGTGCTGTACACGCGATGTTCCCCTCATTTTTTTTTCTTTTTCTTTTTTTCTTTTTCTTTTTTTCTTTTTTTTTTTTTTGCTTTCTTGCGCGCGCGATTGGTGCGTGTCTTCCACGCGCGCTGCTGTTTCCGCGCTTTTTCCACCTTTTTTTCGCGCGATTCGAGGCGTGCATTTTACATGATTCGCGGCTGCCCCACTCGCGCATTCTGTGCACGCGCTCACCTCCATTTTTTTTGTTTTTTAGGATGTCTTACCCTTGGGGTATGTCTTATTTTTTAGGTGGAGCTGCAGATGATTTATCTCAAACTCATGAGCTAGATCTTGATTACGAGGAGGAAGTGGTAAGCCAGAGTCTCCGCGAAGTGGGAGGTTGTTAGCAGCGGCACGTTCTCTCAGAGTAGATGACTCAGGGACATCATGCGCGCTACGTGATCTAATATATCTTCTCACAGACGGCGCCATTATGATGATGCTAGAATTAGACCACCTTAAATAAATGAAATAGAGGGAGCTGAGATAGGGGTGTGAACGAGCCGATCTCGCCTCTTTTGGCCGGCTCGAGCTCGAGCTCGTCGAGTTCCTCTTTTTTTGGCTCGAGCTCGAGCTCGTGTCAATTTTGTCGAGCTCGAGCTCGAGCTCGAGCCCATTGTCTTTTTTTTTTTTTTTTTTTAATATTTTTTTAATTATTATTTTATTATTAAAAATTATTTAAAAAAAATAAAAAATAAAAATTAAATTGTAATTATATATATTTTTAATATTCGTATTTATTTCTATAATATTTTATATTATTATACATTATTTAAATAAAATAACATATAAAAAATAAAAAATAAATAAAAAAATAATAATAAATCCGGCTCGCGAGCTCATGAACAACTGAAAACCGGCTCGAGCTCGGCTCGTCAGAAAGCTCGAGCTCGAGCTCGAAAATTTCGAGTCCGAGTTCAAGCTTTTTACGAGCCGGCTCGTCGAGCTCACGAGTCGGCTCGGCTCGTTTACACCCCTAAGCTGAGAGAGCAAATTGGATCACTAGCTCACGAGCTTGATGATCTTGAGATACCTGCGAATAGAAAACACGTGAACTAGGTCGGGGTTGATCCGGCGGAAACCCCTCCAATGTTCAAGTCAGACGTGCGGATTATAGAAAATAGTTGAGAGAATATAACTCATAATATTATTTAGATATTAGGGCCCCCTTTAGTAAATGTATTATATTGTTATTTATACCTTAGTTGAGATTGTTGGGTCCAAACTTTATTTGAAGGTGATTGGGTCTTCAATATTGGGCTGGTGGCCCAGTAGATAAATAAATTGTAAGGCCATCTCCAACTGTTGTTTAAAAACTCATTGTCTATATTTATAATTTAAGAGACGAACAGTGTTATACACCATCACTTTTAACCTCACACTCCAACAACATTGTTTATATTTTACACAATTATCATATTTTATTTAGTTAGAAAATTTTAATTTAAATAAAATTAAACAACTATATTTCAACGAGCAAATTCGAACGACCGTATTGTAACGACCATTTATAAAATTATTTGAAATAATAATATTATTAATAAAAACTAATATTTCTTAATAAAAAAACTAAATTTGAAAAATTAAATTCCAAAACAACTTTGAATAACTAAACTTATATATATATATATATATGTGTGTGTGTGTGTGTGTGTATGTGTTTTGAAAGGGATGGATAGTGGTAAATTTATTACTTTTTATCTTTACATAATTTGTTTTGTTAAATAGTAACTTTGGTTTCTCAAATTTAAGAAACCAAAATTACAATTGGGCAAGTTTTGCATTTACCCATTTTGTTATTGGAGCTCGAGTTTTGGGCTGAAATTATGTAAAAAATGTAAAAAAATAGGTTTGCACATCACTTTTGGAGTTGCTCTAAGTCTATTGTATTTGCCAAATTAGGTATATCACTAAGTGGGTCTAATGAGTACATGATTTTGCACTTTATTTTATTACTTTTGTTTCTTTAGTAGTTTTATTTGATTTTATTAAAAATCTTAATATGTTTTTTAAGTAAACATACATAAATGTATGAATAATGGGTGGAAAGCACAAATTCGAAAGGAAACCAATGCAAGGACACGAAACCTGTAACAATTTCGGCGGTTATCACAACTCACTCGTATGACGTCCAAATTAATGGCATAATTCAAGTTACATTGGAAAGTTATTTCAGTATAACTTATATATGTTATATTGGGGTAAAATTCATTTTAGTCCCTGAGCTTTGTAATTAAAATCAAATTCATCCCTATGGTTTTAATTGGGTTCAATGTCATCCTTGGAAAACAATTTTACCGCCAAAATTCATCCCCTCCTCCCAAAATACCTATATTACCCTTTTAAAACTTGGGGGACTTAAATGAAATTCAGCCCCAAGTGTCCCATTTTTCTCTACAAAATATATCGAACTAAGATTATATTTAATAATATTTTCAAGAATTTATGCGAAAAAAAACATTCCAACAAAAATTAATTATAATTGGATGTTACGAAATTATTTCTATGTTTTTTTTCATGTCAAATTTGTTGCCAAAATTTTTTGATGGAAATTAAGAATTATTTTTTGGTTTTGTTTTTGCCGACACTGAAAATTATTACATTGAGAAAGGAGTTTCGTCGTGTAAAGTTGTTTTTTGCATTAATTTTATTTTTCTCATATCGAAAAAAAATCCGCATATCAAAGATGTATTGAGCATCTTTTAATATTTTATGATTTTCTTTTTAAATTTCAACGATGGTCAAAAAACAAATTTTCAAGTCAAAATTTAACGGTACCAATATCTTATACATTAAAAACTATTTTTATTTAATTCTGGAAAAATCCTTTAGTAGAATAATATTTAAATAATAGATTTTAATTTGTATTTTAAATAATAGATTTTTAGAGATTTGGAAAAAATACTTTGCAACAAGAATTTGAAAAATAAAATAATATTTGTGTGTGTTTTTTTATATTGTTTGGATCAATGAGAGAAAATAAGTTTTAAGATCTTGAAAATATTATTAAATATAATTTAAAGGGTAAATTCCACTTTCCTCCCTTGTACTTTAGTTCGGTATCACTTTACCCTCTTCTACTCTCGATTGCATCGATTTACCCCATTGATGTTAGTTGTTAGACATTTGACTTTAACACCATTTGATATGAGCTCTGATATTTACAAAAACGCCACCATTCCAGTTTAAATAATTATTAAAAATAAAAAATAAATTAATAAATAAATTCAGGACAACAAGAAAATATAGTCCACGATGCTAGACGCAATTTATTTTTAATTTTTTTTTTAGCTTTTTTAATAATATTTTAAACTAGGAGGGGTGATTTGTTTTGTAATTTTCAAACTTAGATCAAACGATGTTAAGGTAAAACGTCCGAAAACTAACGGCGAGGGCCACATTTATATATATTTTTCAAGTACAAGGGGCAAATCGATGTAATCGAGAGTAGAATGGGGTAAAGTGTTATAGAGCCAAAGTAAAAGGGAGGAAAGTTGAATTCATCCTAAATTTAATTTGATGTATTAAGTAAAAAACTAAAAATGGGAATTATGGCTGAATTTTATTTCAGTCCCCCAGGTTTTGTAAGGGGTAATGTGGGCATTTTGTGAAAAATGATTGATTTTGGCGGTGAAATTATGTTTCAGGGATGACATTAAACAAATTGAAAAACTGAGATATGAAGTTGATTTCGACTTCAAAGCTCAGGGACTAAAATGAATTTTACCCTTTATATATATTTGGGATTTTTTAGTGCACCACCCCATCCATATCCATCCCGTTGTACTCATTACCAGGTTTTTGGGAAATACCGAAATTTATAAAACAAAAATTGATTTTTCGTCTAGAGTCGTAAAACCCGATCGTGAGTTTCCAAAATCTAGTATCAAAAGTAATTATGATTAAATAATTTAACCTAACTCTTGAGCTTTTAGTTCTAAACAGAGTGTTGCAAGCTCTAAAGTGATGGTTTAGGTTTTAATAATATTAATTAACATAACAATTGAGCACTACTTATATATGGTTTTGTTGTACCCTCCACATTGAGGGAAAAATAACATTATCATACAATTAACTGATTAAGGATAATCTCTGAGATTACGCACATAACAACTTCACTAAGACAAATATGCATCACCAAGGCAACAACTCCATATATATATATTTATTAATTAATTAGCATACAATCCATTTTATTTATCTCTATAAATAGAGATACATATGTACCATCCAAAATAAAACAAAAACATAATAGAGAGCTCCATATTTCCAAAGAAGCTAAGATATCCAAAATGTTGAATCAGCAACAATTATCAGCAGTTACAATTTTCGTGACACTGCTATTTGCAGCCATAATTACTTCCTCGAAAACAATCGCTGCGGTGGAACCGATTCTTGAGCTGTACATGCACGACATCCTCGGCGGCAGCAACCCGACCGCCAGACCAATCACCGGCTTACTCGGCAACATATACAGCGGCCAAGTCCCCTTCGCCCGCCCCCTCGGATTCCTCCCCCCGAAATCCGGGGTCGCCATTCCCAACGCCAACGGCGCAATCCCGACGATAAACCCCAACGGAATCCCACTCGGCACCGGCCTAATCGGCACAGCCTTCGCCGGCGGCTTCCCAACCAACAACAACAACAACAACGGCGCAATTAACACCGCCCAATTGGGACCCGACGGGCTGGGGCTGGGGTTCGGGACGATCACCGTGATCGACGACTACCTGACGTCGGCGCCGGAGCTGGGGTCGCAGCAGCTGGGGAAGGCTCAAGGTGTGTACGTGGCGAGCTCTGCCGATGGGTCGACACAGATGATGGCTTTCACGGCGATGATGGAAGGAGGTGAATTCGGGGACAGCATTAATTTCTTCGGAGTTTTTAAGATTGGGAGCACGATGTCTCGGCTGTCGGTCACCGGAGGTACGGGGAAGTTTAAGAATGCGTGTGGTTTTGCGGAGGTGAGGTCACTCATTCCGGCGGGTCAGCATGTTGCCGACGGTGTCGAGACATTGCTCAGGATTACCGTCCATCTCACTTACTGATCGAACGGATTGTGGTTTTCTGCGATCGAAGTAAAAGGAAACAAGGGATACATACATATATGTGGGGAGTGTTTGTTTTAATTTGTGCCTGAAAAAGTCTTGTGTGATTTCTTATTTCTCATTTCAGTGTGTTTATTGTGCCCAAAAGTATATAATCAATTATATGTTTTTTTTCGTTCATTCTCAAATCTTAATCCATGAATCAGCTTTAAATGATACATACTTAAAGAGCACTTAACAGAATAGAAATTTGTCCATGATATATTCATGGTGAAGAAATTTGAGATCGTGTATTTGTTTTCATGCATACTCACAACACAGTTATTTATATCGCAGGATTTTATCTAATTGTCTGAGCAGCTTATAAGATTAAAAAAAAATGTTAATACCATTAACATATTTTCAAAATAATTAATTATAAAAGAGAGAGAAAGAGAAGAGAGAAACAAAGAGAGATAATGAGAGAGAGAAGCAGAACATGTGTGTGAAAAGAGGTTAATACCACGAACATACTTTCAAAATACTCTAGTTGATGTAGTGAGAAACCCACTTGAAGCCATCTCCATAGCCATTTTGCGAACAATGCTGCACATAAACACCTCAATTGGACGCACGTTTGACTCAGCGAGGTTGACTTTTCCCTTGCCGGTAGTGATCCCCATCAAACCCAAGTGGTAGCGCAACTCTTCTTCAGATACTGCGTATGCTACATCAATCTTGTTCCCCAATATCAAGAATGGAACATTGGCCAACGACTCGTCGGAGAGTAGACCATCCAGCTCCTTGTTCGACTCTGCAAATTAAACCTCTCCTTATCACAAGCATCCACTAAGTAAACCACTGCATCCACCTGTTTTCGACACCCAATAAATTGGTTAGTGATTATTCTTAAAACACTAAGTTCAACTGTAAGAAAGCAACGAAGAACTAGCTAGTGGTTAGAGTTCAAAATTTAGTGTGCAATGTAATGTGTATCGTCGTATTTCCCAAATCATATACTCTATGGCTAATATTAGTTGTGCTCCCAACAAGTAAAAAAACCTTCATCAAGATAAATCTGCAATGAAGTTGTTGAGCTATAAAATGCAGCAAGTTCCGATAAATTTTAGTTAAGAGTTGTCGAGTTTATCATCACAGAAAATAAGCATCAAAGTCATTCATAAACACAGTTCTCGGGAATTTCATAGACAAATCCAATTTCAGGATCCAGATAATGTGAGATTATGATGGTTCTACTGTCACACTAATTTTTGTGGCAAATGATCACATAGCATATGAAGAAAAAAAAATGATAAAACTACATGATTATTTCCTTTCGTACTGATAACCATGCACCAATACTTTAGAGAGAATACAGGAAAAGGCCCCTTCCTGTAATAGAAAAGACCAGCTTTTTATACATAATTGCATAAAACGAGACTGACAGTGCAACTATCTTCATTCAGATAAGTTTCTCATATTCCTATTGCTATATTTTATGCAGATACTGACAGAAATACTATCAATTTGCTCCTTGGAAAATACTCACAGTAAACATGAATATTTCACTGCTCCATTAATAAAAAAAGAGAGAATTAATAATGCACACAAGCATTTACACATCGTGGAGGATAATGTCCTAAGGCCTTGTTTGGTTGCCGAGGATCCGTCGGGTCCACCCTAATAGAAAAATGTTTTTTTTTTGAAATTTTGAAAATGCAACGACTATAAACCTGACCCGAATCGACCCGACTCGGACCCAAACCAGACCCGACCCCGGTCCGTAAATTCAAGTTTTTTTTTTATTTTCTACGGCTAGAAACTCGGGTCCACCCAGAACCGACCCGGACCCGGTCGGACTGAATTCAATTTTTTTTCCAACGGTCAAGATTAAAAAAAATAAAAATTCAAAAGACCGATTTTGGACCCGGACCCGGCCTGGATCCGGAAGGACCCGAGTGCACCCGACCCGGACCCGCCTCCACACGGGTCGGTTTTGGGTCCCCAAAACGTAGGACCGGGGCCCGCTGGTCCGACCTGGACCTAGACCCGACCCGACTCGTGGTGGTATCTACTCGAACCCTATGATATTTAAGCTTGATCTAACCTAAACTCAATTTACATGACTCGATTGCCACTCATAACCTTTGTAAATTGGGTATTTTACAAATAAACCCATCAATGAGTACTTATTCATAAAGACATCCAGACAATAATGCGCATGAGCGATATTTTTGTGTTCTTGCTGAGCACAAGAGCTGGTGGGCTCGGAATCAACTTGACAGCTGCAGACACTGTCATATTTTACGAAAGAGATTGGAATCCAACTTTGGATTTACAGGCCATGGATAGAGCTCATCGTCTCGGTCAAACTAAGGATGTCAGTTTTTTTTTTTTTTTTTTTTTTAATTTAAATTCTACGTGGCTTTGGTTTTTGATCATTATAATACACGCACTAATATGTTTCTTTTCATCAGAACAGGTAACTGTGTACCGCCTAATATGTAGAGAGACGGTTGAGGGAAAGATTCTGCAGAGAGCCAATCAGAAGAACACAGTTCAGGGTGATCTTTTGGCTCCGGAAAATTTCCTTTTTTTTTTCCGAAAGTGAAACTAATCCAATTCTGTTCCAAAGAAAATCGTATAAATTCGAAATCTCGGAAATTGGAATGAAAAAACTTGTCCCAAAATTTAAAAAAACTGGATCAAAATCACCGGGAATGGGAATTTCCAATGCCTTCTTCACCTTTAATGTCAAATACATAACAGTATTGATAATTTGATATTGAAGTGTAATTTTTAGGAAAAAATCAAAATTTTCGGAAATTAAATCGGGGCGGAAATCGGAATCTAATATGTATTCCAATTCCGTAAAAAAAAAAAAAAAAAAAAAAAAAAGAAATGGAAATTGGAACTTCCGGAATTCGGAATAAAAAATATTTTTCCAATATTGGGAAATATTCAGATTAGAATTTCGGAAAAAAATCGGAAATTACATAAGCTTTAAAATTTCAAAACTTAGCCGAAATTTTCTAAAATGTTCATAATTTTTAAAAAATAAGAACATCCACGTCGATAAAAGCAAAACTAATAACTACTAAATTTCAGTTCAAAAAATAAAAATAAAAATAAACACAACATAATATCCAATAAAACTTCTAACAACAATTCATTATGTCAAAATCCTAAAACAAAAATTATAGGTGTATTTTTCAGAAAATAAGTATTATATAATATATATTATCTATAGGTGTATTTTTCGGAAAAAAAATCTGAATTTTTCGGAATTATAATCGGATCGGAAATCGGAAATTCCAAATTTATTTTATATAATTCCAATTCCAATCAAAAAAAATCGGAAAATTCAGAATTGAAAAAAATGTTCCAAAATCGGAACTTTTCGGATCGGAACCGGCGGAAATTGGAAATTCCGTTCCAACTTGCACCCCTAGCTCTAGTAGTCAACATTTTAACACATTAAAAGGGAAAACTATTTTCAGAAAATAAAAAATAGAAAGAAAAAAATAAAAATAAAAATAACGGTGCACAGATGGGGCTTTTAAAAACTATTTTCAAATTAGGGCTTTTAAGCTCCAAAACCCCCTTCTCAAAAAAAAAAAAAACGCTCCAAAACCCCTCCAATTTTTGTTTCCTCACTCTGCGGATACTGTAAGCATTAACACTGTAGTTTTCTCTGCACTCTCTGTTAATCAGAGTGTGTGTACTGCGTGTTTCTTCGTTATTATCGCAATGGCGAACGATGCGGATACGAGTGGTTGGACCGATCTTCTGCATTCATCTTCGAATCAGTTTCCGCCGCTTCAGGTTTCCTTTCGCCATTCACCTGAATTCTCTGTCCGATACATGCTTTTTGTTTTCGGTTTCATAATTTACTTTAATTCGAATTGTATTTGGCGTTGTTATGGTGGAAACAGAGCAATTGGGATCAGTTGGAGGCTCTGTCGAAGAAGCTCAAGGCAATAACCCTGCGAGCCGGAGCTCCTTCCCAATCTATTGCGGCGAATAGGTAGTTATCTTTCTTCTTTTCCTGAATCTTATTTACATGTGTGTTTATATCGCGTTACTCGATTTTGTATTATCCTGGTTTTCCAGTTGAATTATCTTATTGATACTTTATGTAACATAAATTATGTTCTATACATTTCATGTTTTCTAGGAAGGAAAATTTTACATATGCAGTTAAATAAATCTCTCAGATATAGTTCATGGATAATTAGTACTATGTGTTGTTGGGGTGGGGGGAGGGGGTACGCCTTATAGATGACGTTGTACTTGTACCATCAACGGTTTGCTGATGATACTGTTTGATAGTTTTTTGTTTTACATTTCCTTTTCAATATATCTGAAATGAAGTGTTCTTCAATCGGCAGGCTACTTGCTCGAGAGGGGCTAAATGCAGAGCAGCTTGCTCGTGATCTCAAGTCCTTTGAGTTGAAGGTAAAATTAATAAATTTTCAGTTCTAATCACTTTCCCCAGAATGTTATGAATAAGTGAAAATTTTCATTCTGGCAGTTAGTTGATCACTAAACTACTCAAACTTCCAAAATATCAGTTGTGTTTGAATGTCATTTATTACGTGATGTACTAATTTGGTGTCCTTTTCTCAATTTATCTAAGATGTTTAAATTAAAATAACTGGCTCCTTTTCTCTTTTATTTGTTTGTGTTTGGTCGTACTCCCTCTCAAAGACAACATTCGAAGATGTCTTTCCAGCGGATGCGACGACAGCACGTGGTAAACTGGATGGCGAAAGCACGATTACTGGGCGTATACAGTCTGGAAATGAGATCGAGACATTCAAATACTTCCCAGATATCAGGTTTTTTTATTTCGAGCTTTGTTTATGTTTCACATAAATTTTCTTCTACACTTGGCAGTTGTATCATACATCAGTGAAGATATTAACCCTACTGCCTCATTTTCAAACTTTGCTGGTTTGCCAGCAAACTTATATGTCACATGTTAGTAGAGTTATCTCCGATATTGTAGTTTGCAGTTCAAATTAATACTTCAAACTTCGTGTTGCTTAAGTTGGTATTTGAATGACATCTGTTACATTTTCACCATGGCTGCAACTTGCCCATAAACTCGTTTTTGCAGCTATGCTAAAAGAATTCATTTTACCTATTAACATAACTTTCCTTTGAACTTCTTAATCTTCGGGTTTCCAAATTTCGCACTTTTCGCTTTTTCCTAGTTATTATTGGTTGGACTACTGAATTTTAGACTTAACTTCATTATCGTTTTTCCTATTAGTGATAGTGATTCTGAGGGTTTTGTCGATGACTCAGTTGATGATGAAATATGCTATGGCTCTGGTGACATCCCCAAGTTGCAATTTAGGTACATTGTATTTCTTTGTGTAGAGAATTCTTTGTTGGTAATTTACTCGACTGATATATAAATGTTGTGCTTGAAGGAAAGAGGCATCGAAGGCACGGTGGATCGAAGAGCTGAACATGGCTGAAGTGCTGGAGAAAAAGGGTAAAATGTGGACCACGACTGGGATAGTTCGTGATGGAAAGACATATTGCTCCCTCGAAGAAACTTTGTATGTGACGCAAGTTCTTTCGTTATATTTATACAATATTTCCTTAGGTTCTGTTAAGAAATCTGATATTCTTTGGGTAGTTTATAATTTTCATCTATCTAAAGTAGGCTGATTTTCTTAGAAAGCAAGCATAATTGTCTCGGCTTGTTCTAGTGTGGACTTGAAGATGAATCAATACTTTTTAAGAGTCCATTGCCATAGCTTGAAATCCATGGGTTCTTAGTTTTGTTTACTATTGTAATTTCACAAATTTCCATCATCTCATTCCAATGATATTATTTTTTCTTTATTGGCAATGATATTTTTTTGCATGAGAAAAGCAGTTCATTTTGATTGATTTTCGTCATGCATGCTTCTTGTGTTGTAGGTATTTGGCTGAAATTGGTGCATTGGATATCGTTAACAGTGATGATACACCTCTTCCCCTAAGCGACATGTATGCAAAGTTAGCAGAAGACAAGAATAGACATGGATGCTCTTGGGATTCTTTTGAAGTTTATCGGCACTTGAAGTTTCTAGGTTACATTGTTGGCCGCCATGGCGTCCCTTGGTCTATGAAGAATGGTAAAATCAAAATCGACGCTCAAGATGGAATGACAGAGTTTCGTGGTATTAGAGATAGGGGATCATTAGACAACAGCTTCATCACAGAGATGTTTGGTAACATGCATCTCGGTGAAACCAGACCAATGTTTGATGTTTATCCTCCTAATAGCAAGTTTAGAAAGTCTTCTCCAGGCAATTTGGCCTTTGTTCTCTGCCGTACCAGGTAACTAATTTCTGCAATATATCTTTGATGAATTAATATTGGCGTAATGTAAACATATATGATGAACTGTGAACGATAATGGCCTAGTACTAAATTTGAATTGAGATGCATGTTATATTTTGTGCAAGGCAGAATGAATCTTGATAAAAGAAATGTTTTAACTCTTCAAGTTCTTTCTATATTTCTTCAAAAAGCATACGAGAGACAAATACATATGAAATAGTCGAGTACCCATATGAAGAAAAACGAGCATATTTACCCAAAATTGCAGTGATTGGTTTCGTTTCTGTTCTAGGGCATTCCACTTTATAAACTTCTATATCTATCTTCTTTAAACATTTTGTATCGATTTGCTCTGAAGACATAAGACATACTTTACATGATAGAAACACTCACACGTGAGCATCGTATTTTATGTAGTGGCTACCCACCGTCCGAGAAAGAGATTAAGGACATTGAGACACATTGCAGTGGACGTCCTATAAAATTCTGTACTGTCGAGCATGGGCGTGTCAGTTTCTTGTCGTTCTCCAAAGTGGAGCTTCCGGTTCTTCCGTGACCTTTTTGCTTGAAATGATATTAAATATGTTTGCCTCAGTTGATGAATACAACAATACTTGTAAGTACGCTTACTAGCTTCCATACGACTTTGATTTGAATGGAAACCATTATTCTGGATATATGAATCTGCTTTTTTGTGTCGAACATACTGAGTTTCTTCTTGTGTTGTGACTGCTGACTAGCTAGTCTAGCATTGTTTGGTTGTGCCTATTTTCTTATGCTTAAGTGTACTTCCACATTCTTAGTAGGTACGAATAAGCATGAGAAGATGAAGAGTGTTAAAATTCACAAAGAGGATTGGTATTAAAATGATGATAGGAAGATGAAGAATATAGTATATCATAAACATAAAACATTCATACTTTTAAAGGTAGGATCGGATAGACCGAAGAAATACAACCAGGTACGATAGGATAGATTAAACAAATACAACCTTCAACTAAAAGAAGGTAGATGCATAAATAAGGCATCAAGAAGAACCGGGATTACTTGGTTTTGCCAACATATCGTTCTCTCTTGTGATATGGGCAATAAACGAATCTAGCTCGAGTCTAGAAGCTCCGCCTTGTTGAGTTGCATGTTGATATGGGCAAAAATTTGCTGCTATGATTTGTTTATCTCTGCCGGTTTTTTCTTTAGTTTCTTTTTATTGTTGATGAATGTAGTATCATGTACTATATGTCGGTGCTGAACATTTTTTGTTTTCGAACTCAACTAGATACCAAACTGGTCTACCAAGAAGTTGTTGACGGTCCCAACATTCAAATTTCAGAAGCTGGTCAAAGGTTAAGTCAAGAGTCATTCGAGAAGCATTTTAACATATTTTCTCCAGAAAATATATTTCATTCCACACTCCAACAAAGTGGAACATTTGGATTCACCCGCTTTGTCGATTCATCACCAGCCGAGGTATCGTTCGTGGCAACTAGTTTTTTTTTTTTTTAAATTATTTTTTTTAACCTTTGGATCAATGAGCCCTGTATTTATACTTGGGATTTACCTTTTCGACTCAATTGCAATCCTGCATTTTCCATAAACAATACTAATTATTCTAAACCTTTAATACTGACAAAGAGGAATAAAAATGATGATAGAAAGATGAAGAGTATAGTATATCGATTATTGATTGCATTAATTGCAACATCGATCACATTTTAGCCAATTAACCATAGTTAATTTATATTTTTAACTAATAGGGGTATAATAAAATCATAAAAACAATTAATAAAACATGCATACACTTAAAGGTAGGATTGGATAACGTATCAAGTAGAACTGCAATTACTTTGTCTTTTTGCCTAGATATCATTCCCTCTGGTGATATGGGAAATAAATGAATCCAGCTCGAGTTTAGAAGCTCCACCTTGTTGGGTTGCCTGATAAACAGTAGCCGCTAACTCCTCTGCCCTCTTCCGTAACTCATCCCCTTCTTTTGATGCCATTAATATTTTCAAAATATTCTTTATAATTGATGCTTTCACGAGTTCCGTCCTCTGTTTCCAGTCCCTCACAAGAAGGCCCATCTTCAGTATTTCTGTAATGAGAACAGAGTTATTTGGTTGGTCAGAATGCATAGGCCATGCTGCAATAGGAACTCCCATTGTAATGCTTTCTATGCATGAATTCCAGCCACAGTGGCTCACGAACCCACCAGTCGATGGATGGGCCAATATCTGTGGCTGTGGGGCCCATTCTCTCACCACCATCCCTACTCCTTCCACCCTCTCTTCAAACCCGTCGGGCAGTTCTGCTCTTCTGACTTGTCCATCAAAGATATCTCTTTTATCAGCGTCTCTCAATACCCAAAGGAACTTCACTTTGCTTTGCTCTAATCCGTACGCTAGCTCTTTTATTTGCTCATCTGATAGGGAAGTTGTGGTTCCGAAACTTACATAGATGACAGAGTTTATCTCCTGTTTATCGAGCCATTCTAAGCATCTGTTATGGATCTCCGATTGGTTTGCTGAAGACGATAACTTGGCAGGGAGTATTGGGCCTATTGCCCAACTCTTTCTACTCCCGACAATCTCTTCTTTTTCTATTAATTCCATATAATCTTGTTCTATCAATCTGCAGGTGTTGTAGAGATCCCCAGCTCTGTAACTCAATGGCTCAAACTGTAAAGCCAAAAAATCCCGGATCTCATCTGTTATGCATCCTTCAAAAGAGGGCAACTCTTTCGGATGTTCTATCGGCAATGGTTTGCCTAGGAGGTCCAAGGTGAAAACGGCCTTAGTAAAGGCAGAAATGCAGTTGAATACATAGGATTCTGCGTTAAGGATTGAAGAAACATCCTGAACCACTACAGCCATCAAGGAATCATGAACGACAACAACTCTTTCGAATTTGTTTGCCATGTCTCGCAAATAGGAAGCGACGGGCTCGCGTAGACTTAATGAATCCCACAACGGCTGGAGCTGTGTGGGGGGTTTGTCGGGCGAGTTGGGGTCTGGTGGAGGAGAGACGGAAGATGGAGTTGGGATATCGCGGAAATGTATTTTCTCCACATCCTCATGGTTCAACCCATTGATACGAACTTTGGCTTGACGGTTGTGAATGGCCGAGCCAACGTAGTGAACGGGGATACCGTATGAAGATATCAGGCAAGAGAGCTGCATCAGCTGATTGAGGTGCCCTTGAGCTGGAAATGGAACCATGATAACTGCAACTCGAGGCTTTTCCATGGTGGTAGTATCGGTATGCTCTTTTTGATTGCTTAAGCAGCCCGATAAATGGAAGTTTTCTGGAGGAGTTTCTGTCTGTACAAGAATCTCGAGTAAGACGGGTATATATATTTGAGTTCTGTGGGAGTTGTCTATATAAATGGTGGCATCTCGTGAGCCGTTGGATAGAGGGACATGTGAAATTTTTGAAACGCTGGAAACTTGTGTTTACGTGCCTTCCACATTTTGATATTTTCGTGTTTGGTTGGAAGATTTTCGTAATTTGAGGTTTGATGTGCGTGATCTGCCGAATGTGATATCTGGTGGACGGTTCAATCATTACCGTAATTGAACGGAGAAGGATACAAAGATGTCTGATCAAGAAGGTGTACGTGGATATGGGCACAAATGAAGAAGTAGACAAAAGCTGTGTGTATTTCCAAGCTACTCAGTAGTGCTGTGAAATTTCGGTACGTCTTCTCTTATTAATTATATTATTCATCTTGTTTCAGTTGAAATTCTCTTCTTCCTTATTATCTCATAATTCTAAAGGTTGGAAATAAGACTGCCATTTCTATTTCTATATGACAGAGTAAATTCTTGAACAACTCATTTATAGAGGTAAAATAAAATTCTTTAATTTTTAATTTTTATTTTTTTAATTTTATGTAAGAAACCACTGACCGATGAGCCAATATTTGCAGCGAGTATTAATAGTGAATGACGGAATTACCCTCATGTTTGTCGAGCTATTCTAAGCATTTGTGGAACTGGTGAGTTTCTGAAGAAGGGAGAGTTGGCCCTGCCCTATTGCCTAACTCTTCGTATTTTTATCAGTTGTGTCCAAATAAGGTGCTTCAATCAATCTGGAGGTGTTGTGTAAATCTCCATCCGTGCGCTCCAATGGCGTGAACTGTAAAGCTACGAGATAACTGATTTCTTGTGGCAATCCTTGTTCGATATCCGGCTGCTCCTTTGATGAAAACTCTGCATCAGGTCTGATTGAAAGATGCCATAGACAAGGTGGAGACTGCGTTGTACGCTTAAGATTCCATGTTAGGGATTTTAGAAACGTCCTGAACAACGTACGCCATGTGGCGGTGGGGCCCAGCGTTTCCGGCAAGGCTAAAAACACCGGCTAATCAAGTTATTTTTTTTGTTTTGTTTTGTTGTTTTTTTTTTTTTAATTTTCAAATTTATTTATGTGAATAATTAGTTTCAATTCCATTTCGAAAATTTTCAAAAACCATTTAAAAATCCGACTGATTTTTTTTCTTTCTAAAAGTGAAAATTCTCAGATTAAAATTTGTGAAATTAAAAATTATGTTTCTTTATTCACCTAAATTATAAAATACATAATACTAATACTATAAATTTAATTTAACAAATTTTGGAATGCATATCTATATTATATATAAAACTAAGATGCACAATCAAATTTTTCCAATTGAGGAGATTGAGTCCACATTGTTTAAATAATTTCAAAAAAACCTCACTTACCATAATCACATATATTATTAATTAATTGATTTCACATTATTAGTTTTCAAATTTTATCTCTCCTCCATGTTAAAATAGTGTTTTTTTATTGGTTAATCAGTTTCCTTTTTTTAATCAATTGTTTAATAATAAATACTTAATTACATAAATGCACATAATTCCTTTTTTTTGTTAATGAGATTTTATACACAATATTTATATTAGTTGCAAAACAACCCCATTTACAAGAATCATCCATATGATTAATGAAATAATTTCATATTATTGGTTTTTAAATTTTATCTTTCCTACATGTCAAAATAGTGTCTTTGAATTGGTTAATGAGTTACCTTTTTACAAACATTATTTTGGTTAAAAAAAGGTTGGAGCTATATGCAATATTTACAATTTCCCAAATGAGGAAATTTTATGCACAATTTTATATAAATTGCAAAAAAACCCCACTTACAATAATCATTCATATTATTAATGAAATAATTTCACATTATTGGTTTTCAAATTTTATCTCTCCTACATGTCAAAGTAATGTCTTTTTATTGGTTAATGAGTTTCCTTTTTATAAACAATATATTGATTAAAAAAAACATAGGACTTAAATGCAATATATTTTTTAATTTCCCAATTAAGGAAGTTTTATGCACAATATTATATTAATTGCAAAAAAATCCACTTACCATAATCACCTATATTATTAATTAATTGATTTCACATTATTAGTTTTCAAACTTTATCTCTCCTACATGTCAAAATAGTGTTTTTTTTATTGGTTAATGAGTTTCCGTTTTTTTAATCAATTGTTTCATAATAAAAACGTAAATTAAAAAAAGGCACATAATTCCTTTTTTTGGTTCATGAGATTTTTTTAATATTTTATACACAATATTTATATTAATTGCGAAAAAAAACCCACTTACAAGAATCACCTATATTATTAGGGGTCTTTACAAATAAACTCATCAATGCGTACTTATTCATAAAGAGATCCAAACAATAAACTCATATACAAAAAATTCCACACATGGTCCAGATTTTTGTAAAAGACTAATATAGCCCCTCATACTTTAATATGCTCTAATTTCATCATTTAAATTAATTTAACCTCAATTTGACCCCAAATTTCACAAATTATTCAATTTTGACCAAAAACACATTTTTATGGACAATTTCGTCCGTCACCGCCATTGAGCGTCGGTCCCCGGCGTTGACTTTTTTTTTTCTTTTTTCTTTTTCTCCCGGATTTTTTCGCCGGTTTCCAGCGTTGACTTTTTTTCTTTTCCCTGATTTTTTAGCCACCGGTTTCTGGCGTTGAATTTTTTTCTTTTTTTTCCCTTTTTTGTCTTTCTTTCTTTAATTTCTTTCTTTAACATCTTTTTTTTTTTGGTTTAAAAAACAATATTGCTCTGACTGACAGTAATATTAACTATATTACTGTTATACACAATAAAATTAACTATACTACAGTTTAACACAGTAATATTATTATATTAATCTCTAGCACATTAATATGAATACAACAAAACTCATTATTATTGTGTAATAGAGTAATATTACTATGTTGACCGTTCAACAAATGTAAACATAATAAAAAGCCAAAAGAATTAATATTACTGTGAGTGATAGTAATATTACTATAACAACAGTAATATTACCCAACCACAGTAATATTACAATAATAGACAGTAATATTATGACGTTACTCCGTGAATAACTCAAACAAACAAAAAAACCCAAACAAAATAATAATATTGATGTGGCTGACAACAATATTGCTATAACAACAGTAATATTACCGTCAACCACAATAATATTATTGTGTTTACAGTAATATTACAATGATAGACAATAATATTATTACGTTACTCCGTGAATAACTCAAACAAAACAAAAAACCCAAAAAAAAAAATTAATATTGATGTGGTTGAGAATAATATTATTGTGTTTACAATTATTTTACTGTCAACGGCAATAATATAATTACGTTGACTTGTCAACAAATCAAACAAAATAAAAAGAAATAAAATAATAATAATAATAATAATAATAATAATAATAATAATAATAATAATAATAATAATAATAATAATAATAATAATAATAATAATAATAATAATAATAATAATAATAATAATAATAATAATAATAATAATAATATTAATATTACGTTAATTTACTGTCGTTGACAGAACAATTACATAAATGTATTGTCAACGGCAATACAATTACGTTAATGTACTGTCATTGACAGTATAATTACGTTAATTTACTATCAGTGACAGCACAATTAAAGTCAACGTTTAGCAACGGACGTAAAAAAAAAAAAGTAAAATAAAAACACTAAAAAAGTCAACACCGGAATTCGGCGGCGGAAAAAAAAAAAAAAAGAGTCAACGCGCGGAATCCGGCGGTGGAAAAAAAAATCAAAAGTCCAATTTTTTTTTTTAAAAAAAAAGTCAAAATTGGATTTTTGTGGTCAAAATTGATTAAATTGGGGTTACAATTAAGAATTGTGATATAAAGGGTTGGGGGTAATATTGTCATATACATGAATGTTTCCTTTATTTATAATAAATATTAAAGGGATGGGCTTATTAGTGAAAGAGATATAGCCCCTAAACCTAGAATAATAAAGATGCTTGGTTAGGGACCTATGGATAAACAAAAACCCCTATTATTAATGAAATAATTTCACATTATTGGTTTTCAAATTTTATCTCTCCTACGTGTCAAAATAGTGTATTTTTATTGGTTAATGAGTTTCCTTTTTTAAACAGTTGTTTGATAATAAATACGTGAATGCATAAATGCACATAATTATGTTTTTTCGGTTAATGAGATTTTATACACAATTTATATATTAATTGCAAAACAACCCCCACTTACAAGAATCACCCATATTATTAATGAAATAATTTCATATTATCGGTTTTCAAATTTTATCTCTCCTACATGTCAAAATATTGTCTTTTTATTGGTTAGTGAGTTTCCTTTTTACAAACATTATTTTGATTAAAAAACGTTCGAGCTATATGCAATATATATAATTTCCCAATTGAGGAAATTTTATGCACAATATTTATATTAATTGCAAAAAAATACCACTAACAATAATCACCCATATTATTAATGAAATAATTTCACATTATTGGTTTTCAAATTTTATCTATCCTACATGTCAAAATAGTGTCTTTTTATTGGTTAATGAGTTTCCTTTTTATAAACAATATTTTGATTAAAAAAACATAGGACTTAAATGCAATTTTTTTAATTTCCCAATTGAGGAAATTTTATCCACAATATTATATTAATTGCAAAAAAAACCCCATTTACCATAATCACCTATATTATTAATTAATTGATTGCACATTATTAGTTTTCAAATTTTATCTCTTCTACGTGTCAAAGTAGTGTCTTTTTATTGGTTAATGAGTTTTCTTTTTTTAATCAATTGTTTCATAATAAAAACGTAAATTCATAAAGGCACATAATTCTTTTTTTTTGCTTAATGATATTTTATACACAAT